TTTCCAAGAAATTATTTTTAAGAAGATTGAATCTAGTAATCCCATTTCAATTTTCTTCTATAACCAAACAAATATGTAGCAATTAAACCACAAACTCATCAAATGATTTGCTCTCTAACAAATGTAATATCTATATATATATATATATATATATGTATGTACATGTATACCTATATGTCCAAATAATGTAATCTATATTGAAACATGTTTTCCCAAGATGTCACTCAAAGAGTGAATTTATTGTAATTTCATTCCTCTTTTTATATATAACCAAACACGTATACGACAATTAAACCACAAATCTATCAAATAACTTTGTCCCCAACAAATGCAACACATACATGCACATGCACACATATAGATATATATTATTGTGTTTGAATAGAAGGAGAAAGATTCTCATTTTTCTAACTCATAAAACAAGTAGAACTTATACTTTTGCAATCAAAAAACTGAAAAATAGAACAGAATTGAAACTGAACAAGATAAAAACGTCAGTAACTTTACAAGATTGAATTAGAATAAGAAAATATATATTAAAAATGACATGATTCAGGACATTATTTAAAGAAAGAACCAGATAAAGTTGCCTTACCGGTGAGACTTCTGTTCTGAGATCAACTTGTGGAGATCCGCAATCAACTTTTGAAGTTCTAGATTCAACTTCTAGAGAGCTGGAATCAACCTCTAGAGTTCCAGATTCAATTTCTGGAGTATTGGAATTAACCTTTGGAATTCTGGAATCAACTTTTGGTGGTTCAGGGTCACCTTCTAGAGTTCCAGAATCAACTTCGCTCTCAGTGTCATCTATATCAAAGCACAAAGTAGAATAATCAATGGTTGCAACATATGGTGGCCAAATGTATCATTATGATAGAGATTCTACGTTAACTGAGTATTTAACCATGTTGTTCAGTCTTGACACTAAACAATTGATGAACTTTATACATGTGAATTACCTCTTTCTTTCTCCTTATTGACTTTTTTTTACGTACATTAAGAAAATTGAAACATTAAGCTATGAGTTGATTAGCCTCCAACAAATGCAATGCATACATGTTAAAATGACATGATTCAGGACATCGTTTAAAGAAAGAACCAGATAAAGCTGCCTTATCGATGAGACTTCTGGAGTTCTGAGCTCAACTTGTGGAGATCCGCAATCAACTTCTTGAGTTCCAGATTCAACCTCTTGAGTGCTGGAATCAACCTCTGAAGTTTCGTAATCATCTTTTGAAGTTTCGGAGTCAACTTCTAGAGTTTCAGAATCAACTTCACTCTCACTTTCATCTATGTCAAAGCACAAAGCAGAATAATCAATAGTTACGGTATATGATAACTAAATATATTATTGCATGTAGATTAACAGTTAAGTAATATTTAAACACTAAACAATTAATGGTATTTAAACATGTGAATTACCTCTTTCTTTCTCCTTTTTTACCTACGTGAAGAGAATTACAATATTAAGCAACTCTCTGAGTTAGCATCAAAATTATGTTGCTTTTTATATTTAATTTAATAGGAGAAAAATTATTTTTTTACCAGAGCCCAAAACATTGAAAAACATGAAGACAAAACTGAAGTAACTTTCACCATGCAGTCACTGAAGATACCCATGCCGATAGATTTTCCTGTGTGATCATAGAACCCCATAATCAAAGAGTAAAACCTATCATGTGGCTTAAATGTCGACCCTAAGCTACATTAGCATACTATTTCTTCCGGATCGTATTATGTCCTTTCTAAAGCAAAATTTAGGAATAAAAGTACAGACTGTGTAAGAGACAAAAGCACATGCCACACTAGCATAATTATTTCTTCCACATATGATTTTCTGCAGCCGGTTGCTACATTAGCTCACCCGTACGAAATTCAGGGAACTGGTCTTCTCCTTGATCGGATTTCAGAAAATGAAGATATATATATGTGTGTCTGTGTGTGTGTGTGTGAGAGTATATTAATATATAGATAAAAGCACAGACTATATTAGTTAATACTATTTCTTCCATATATCTAATGTAGCCTGGCATATGGAATTGAACGATATAATACTATTTATATATATATATATATATATGTATATATGCATTCTTGTTTCTTGACAAGAATGAAGATGGAAAGTCGAACAAAAAGGACATGATCAAGGCATTGAACGAGGCGTGCGCTTGGGAGAAACCTCCTGCACATGTCATGAAGAAAATGTGGGCGTCTCTCTGATAATTTTTCTTTTTAATTATATTATTTAATTTATTAAGTTTTTCTTTTTAATTATTATTATATAAACGAACTACTTGATTATTACCCGTAACAGAATAACGGCTAACAGAATGACAGTTTCGCCGCCACTACCACCTTCTCCTTCTGCCAGTCTGTTCCTCATATATTCTTCTTCTTTTTCATTCTTTCAAATCCTCACCACTCTGTTCCTCATTTTTGCTCTCGTCACACGCATTTTGCAGACTCCTGGACGGGTAAGATTTCTCTCTTTTCAATCTTCATTTCACATTTAAGCTATATATATACACACGCACATACATGTATCTATCTTCATTTTCTGGATCAACTAGAGAACTGGTTTCGTAGTGTTAAGCTAAGAATATGGAAGAAATAATATGAACAAATATACACTCACGTACATATATTGATATGGAAGAAGTAGTATTAACTAATGTAGTCTGTGCTTTTATCTATATGTAAACAATCGCAACCAGATATTGTGAGTTATCCATTTAAGGCTCAAGGAATTGTGAATAACTTAAGAATAGAACTGTACAACAGCAACATTGTGAAACAATATATTCAAGGTAAATATACACAATATGTATTAGGCTGACCTTAATTTAAACTGTTCAGTTCATTCTATGCTCTCCTGATCTTCATTTTCCATTTCGACTTCTTCTTCATCAGCTGTCAAATCCCCTGAAACTGACCTTCCCTTTCCTATCCCAGTCCATTTCTTCTGCATCTACCGCAAGAATTACTACTAGATTAATAACTAGGGAAGTAGATAATAGTGAATCTTGACTTAGTGACATGTGCAGGAGGTTTCTCCCAAGCTCACGCCTCGTTCAATGCCTTGATCATGTCCTCTTGTTCCACTTTCCATCTCCATTCTTGTCCAAAAGCCAAGAATGCATATATATATGTAATATTTTTATATCTTTCAATTCCATATGTCAGACTACATTAGATATATGGAAGAAATAGTATTAACTAATATAGTCTGTGCTTTTATCTCTTACACATTGTCTGTGATTTTATCTATACATAAATATACTCACACATCCACACACACACGCATATATATCTTCATTTTCTGATACCCGATCAAGGAGATGACCTGTTCCCTGAATTCCGTATAGGGGAGCTAATGTAGCTACCGGCTACAGAAAATCATATATGGAAGAAATAATTATGCTAGTGTGGCATGTGCTTTTGTCTCTTACATATAGTCTGTAATTTTGTTCTTGAATTTTGCTTTGAAAAGGACAAAATACGATCTGGAAGAAATAGTATGCTAATGTAGCTTAGGGTCGACATTTAAGCCACATGATAGGTTTTTTTTCTTTGATTAAGGGTTCTATGATCACACAGGAAAATCTATCAACATGGGTATCTTCAGTGACTGCATGGTGAAAGTTACTTCAGTTTTGTCTTCATGTTTTTCAATGTTCTGGGCTCTGGTAAAAGACAGTTTTTCTCTTATTAAATTAAATATAAAAAGCAATATAGTTTTGATGTCAACTCATAAAATTGCTTAATGTTGTAATTTTCTTCATGTAGGTAAAAAAGGAGAAAGAA